TCAGATTCTCTCGACTACTCTCTCCCATGTGTAGTAAATGTTGTCATCGATAAGTTTAGACAGCAAGACTAAACCGTGATCGTTGGCACTGTGAAGGAAGAACGGGTTTTGGGAGTCATAGATTGATCTCTAGCCATTGGAGATTAAATGTTTTGGAGCTCAATCACTGAGCTAGAAGATGTTGGTTAATTAATCTGCTCCAATACTCTGATAGAAAAGAAAAGGAGAGCAATAATGGAGCAAAGAGAGAGCAGCATGATGAAGAAAAATTACTCTCTGAATTCACCTTTTACAGCCTACTGGAATACATATTACTGCCATTTGGTGCTGTACAATAGTTGAAGAAAACAAAAACGGTTACATTACAAATAACTAATTTTATTTTTGAGTTTAACACAAACTAATCTTAATATATCTTCTAATTAATCTTAACAAAGGGTAATGAAAATTAGGAAACCCAAATAGAAGAATTACTCAAGGCTCTTATTGGCATTGTCTTTTAGATAAACCTTTTGGCTTGAAGCAAAATTATGTTTTAAGATTTGGAATTTAAATGAATTTTGCCTCTGTTCCTTTTACTTTTAATTTTAATTTTAATTTTAATTTTTTTAAAACAAGATAAAAAATTTAAATTTAATGTAGAGAACTAAAAGAATTTTTAAAAAATATTTATTTATAAAAGTTATGATGATTAAGTTATAATAAATTTCAGTAAAATTATTATATTTTTGAATGAAATGAACACTTACTCATAAACAAATTCAATCTTAATTTTTTTCTTAAAAAAAAAAATATCTTTATTTGTTTGTTGACATTTTTAATAAAAAAAGGACTATAATTGTTGACATATAATATCTATATATATATATATATATATATATAATTAGCACAAAAATGGTGGTGAATACAATTTAAATGTATAATATATTTATGATAATTGACGAGGGCTTATCATTTCAACAATTACGTTTACTAATTACACCACATTAACTAACTATCTATTGATTAGTATTTTTATTCGTCTGTTAATAATTCTAAACTTTTACTTGTAGAAATACAGAAGATATAAAGCTTAACATAACTATATAATTTTTTCTCTAATTCATTCACACATTTTCATTAACCAATATATAAACGCACAAATACATTTCTCTATTGTGGGATTTCAACAATATAATCAACATTGTTAATTTTAACTTTTTAATGTTTATTGCTCAGAATTTCAGTAGCAGTTATATATATATATATATATATATATATATTTTCTCCTGATAAGCACAAGTTAATTTCAATGAGAAAAACATCAGTCTATAATATATATATATATATATATATATGTCTACGTGCTTTGATTATCGGCATTTATGGTTGATTGAGCCATCATATATATAATGTGTATTATGCTTTAAATTTGAGGTGACTTGCTCATCAAATATTTAATTCTGAAATTCTAATTATTGAACAGACGCAACTTACATTTAATGAAAAAATGCAGCATCGTTCTCTAAATGAATATGTACATAATATATATCAATTAGTCATGGGATTATTGATGTTATTCTAATTATATATGACATTGACACGAACATTTTTTCTCAATACCTCAGGAACCTCCTGAAATACACATTTGTGAAGTTATATACGTGCCAATCCTAGACTTCTAAACCCAGATTTCTAGAATTTATTCATCAGAAATCTGAGTAGGGATTCAAGATGCACTTGCCCACTTCCCCATATCAAATCTCAGCTTTGCTTGCCGTATGATATATACATATATGTATAGATATATTTCCCGTTTAGTCGTCAAAGAATTCTTGAATCAATTTTTACTTATCGAAACTAAATTTCTTCTATGTTGCGTTTGGTACAGACTATCTAGGCAGGTATTTGAGGATTCATAGGTCCAGAAAACCAAATTCTGGACCTGGCTTTACCAGCATATTTGACCTATTGATATTATTGCAATATAGTTTAGGTGCTGAATTTCTGCTACATCTTTATCACGAGTTCCAGCTTGGAAGATATGGAATGAGAGATAGAGAAGAGAATTTATATATAAGTTATGTATTTGAAAAGGTAAAGAATTTTGTAATTAGAGGCATGAGAATGGACGAGTCATCGCATATAACTCAGATAAAGCTGTGGGCGCTCGGGGCGAGTACCATGTTGCTGCTGTTGTGGGCTGGTATAGTTCAATTGACGACAATGGGAGAAAGCTTGGGGTTGGGAGCATTCAAGTATAGAACTTTTTATTCTTTTCCCCCTGAAAGTAAGTCTTTTTTTCCACTGCATACATACTTATTATAATAATAATACTAATTCTATATAAACCAGATTCAGAAAAATGACAGAGCAAAATAAATTTTGATTGCAGGAGGTTATGCCAACAAAGGATACTTAATGGTTTCATCTAATGGAGGATTGAATCAAATGCGATCTGGTGTATGTTTTATATTCTTTATTAATTTACAAAACTTTGGTGGAAACAAACAATATCGTTTAATTCTTTCTCAATGTTGTGTAATTTTACAGATATGCGACATGGTTGTTGTTGCAAGGTACATGAATGTCACATTTGTAGTTCCTGAGTTAGACAGAAACTCCTTTTGGAATGATCAGAGGTGTGTGTATGTGTAATTATATGTGTTTATATATGCATGGTGTTATAAACTTGATTTAATATTCATAGAATTAGTTGTTCAAAATTTTTTGGGTAATTTGAGATAGCAACAAATTCCAAGACATATTCGATGTGGATTACTTCATCAATTCACTGAGAGATGAGGTTGTGATAATCAAAGATCTACCTTTCCGGCTGAAGAGAAAAATTTCCAGACTCGGCGTTCATTCCATGGCACCTGTTAGCTGGTCTAACATCTCTTATTACTACAATACGGTATATATACATGTACACATATACCTTGTCACATGACTCTTTCAAGTTTTCTAAATTAACTAGTAGTATATAGGCATATATAATTACTAATTGAATAATATGCATGTTGATCAGGTTCTTCCTCGGATAGAAACATATGGATTGGTGCATCTGGCAAAAACAGATGCTAGGCTTGCAAATAATGGACTGCCTCAGGAGGTTCAGAAGCTTCGTTGTCGAGTTAACTACGAGGCCTTGAGATTCACAACGCCAATCGAGGAATTGGGGAAGAAGATTGTTAGAATTTTAAGGGAAAAAGGGCCTTTCACGGTTCTTCATCTTCGATATGAGAAAGACATGTTAGCATTCTCTGGCTGCACTGAAGGTTGCTCCCACCACCAGGCCGAAGAACTCAAACACCTAAGGTAATTTACACCAAATAATTATTAATTACTACTTAACCTGTTTCAATTGAACAGGCATATAAATATGTATGTGTCAGATACAATATCTCCTGGTGGAAGGAAAAGGAAATTGATGAGAAGGAAAAAAGGAAAGTTGGTCTATGTCCGTTAACTCCCGAAGAAACTGCACTGGTTTTACGGGCATTTGACTTCACTCCTGATATGCAAATTTACATTGCCGCTGGAGATATTTATGGGGGAGAAACCAGATTAAATGCTCTGAGAAACTCTTTTCCCAATCTGGTAATTCATTGACTAAATTTAAATCAATACATTTATGTATTATGATCAAAAGGGGTCCCTTGTTTTTTGATATATACATATATATCATGTACAGGTTAAGAAGGAAACGTTACTTCCAGCCTCAGACTTGAAGCCATTCCAGAGCCATTCCAACCAGATGGCAGCTCTGGACTACTTCGTATCCTTAGCAAGTGATATTTTTGTTATGACTTATCAAGGCCACATGGCTAAGCTCGTTGAAGGCCATAGAAGGTATATACATATATATATATATATATATATATATATATACGCACAAGAAAAGCTAATTAATTAAGCAAGTTGGTTTCGCAGATACTTGGGTTACAAGATGACAATAAACGTGGACAAGAAGGTGGTGGTGAAATTAATAGATGAGTACAGAAATGGAACAATGAAGTGGAATGAATTTTGCAGGGCAGTGAAGGTAGCTCATGCAAATAGAATCGGAAGTCCAACTGAGAGACTCAAGATTCCTGGAAAACCCAAGTTAGAGGATTACTTCTACACCAATCCACAGGAATGTTTGCCTCAAATCAAAAGCAACCCAGATTAAAATTGCTACTTAATTTTGATCTATTTATTTATTTTTTACTCTAATTTGGATCTAAAATTGGTGGGGAAGATGAAGATTGAGCTTCGTGTTTGTGATTTCTGGTTTCCTTGTAAATTTGTGGTTTACATGAAATTTTAAAGGAAATCTTTGGTTGATTATTCACTAATTTGTAATACATATTTGTAGTGTCCGTAATTGATTAAAATTTAGTTTAATTACGTCTCTAATCTGATTAGACCAAGAAAGGGAAGAAACAGAGTGGAACCCTGTTTCCAGCCGCTTCTCCCGACTCAATGAACCCTCCTGGGAAAGCAACTTACAGTCAAGCCTTCCGGACTCGGGCTATTCTTCTTTATTTTTTAATTTAAATTTCTATTTTTATTTTTCAAACGTGAGAAGATAATTAAAAAATTATATTTTTATACTGTAGTATTGATATAATTTTTAATTTTTTTTTAATAATCATATAAAGATAATGTATGTTATTTACCTAAATAAATTTTTTTATCAAAATAAAAGAATTTATAATAAAAAGGTATGAGAAACAAGGAAACGATTAAATCATATAATGCATAAAATTCGAAATTTATAATTAACTAAAAATTTAAATAGATAATTATTATAAATATTATTACTTTAATTATATTTTAGCTAATCTATATATTATTATATTAATTCAAAGGATATGTATTAATTTTATTTTTAAAATATTTTATAAAAAAATTCAATCCTCTTTTTATGTACATATAATATATTAGAGAAAAACTTGCGACACATAATTTTTTATTAAACAATATGTAATTTTTCCTTTCCAATCTAATAAAATCCACTTAATCATGAGATTGTTGAAAATTTGCAACACATTGTGGTCGGGTAGAAATCTAATTTGCTATTAGTGGTTGACAGGACCAAATTTTTATAATCCAAGCCTATATCTACTACTAAAGTCAATTATACTTTAAATACATTTTATTTGTGGTATTTAAATTTATTGTAATTTAAATATTAATGACATCACAAGAAATAAAATTTATTTTCAAAAAATTTCAGAGAGAAAATGATTATATAAATTCAAGTGAAAGTGTCAACGGCATTGAAATTGGAAATGGCATCGGTCACAGATGCCAAAGATAACATGTGGGGGGTCACCTACGCGCACTTTCAGTCCAATTAGTCAAAAAAATTCTTCTTACATTTACAAATTACAATAATACAAAACCAGCACAACACGTGTGTGTGTATATATATATGTATAGAAAGATTTTTCCACGTAATACAAAATTGGGTTTGGCAATGCACGTTACCCAAATGTTGGGTTTAGTAAATTAAACCCCCCCACCTTATAAGACAGTTAATATTTCCAGCTTAATTATAAGTAGACTAATAACAAAGGTTTTAGGGTTTTGCTCCACATTGTCGGCCACTATACCTAACGAAACACGAGACACAGTACTCCTCAATTATCTCCCTAATTACGAATTAAAATACTCTTACCTTTTAAGCCAAAAACACTAGATTTATCTAGACATAAGTAAGCTAATTAAGAAAAGAAAGCTTGTATACTATATATGTATATGTATAGGTGGTGTGTAGGATGGAAAGGGAGGTTTCAAGGAGCAACTGGTAAAGACTTATTATGTATGGGTCGTCGTCTTCTGACGTGGGTATAATCCATTGTAAAAAATTGTGATGCGTCGGCTCCTTCAATCCATCTCCCTTGCCTTCCACTTTCCTTCATGCTTTCCTCCTTTTGCTTTGCCTTTCCTGGACATTCCCACCTCAATCAATATATAAGACTACACCGAAAAAGAATGATTACGTTTCAAATCTAAAAAATAAATTAATCATGCATGGTGGTCGTAGAATTTTATAATATATATATATATGTGGGTGTATTTGCATGTTGATTTGTGGGATTGTTGATTTCTATTTGGGAGAAAACTAAAGATGGGTGACCTCTCTTTACGATGAGAGAAAATTTTTAATTTTAATTAGGTATTATGCTATATTATTTGTATGCTAACAACCTAAAGCAATTAGAGGCTTAGTTTATAGGTCAATGCATGTCATATTTATTGAACAAAAAAGTATATATATAAGTCTACTTATTGGCTTTTATGTACATATGTTATACTATAAATATAATTTTATCTTTCTTTTTTTTTAAACTAAAATATACATTCTATACATAAATGTCCTCATTCGAAACTACTAAAATATTGTTTATATATTATTCTTTGGTCCTTCTATAATTCTTCCACCTATAAATATATACATTCTTACCATATACTTCCTATGGAGCTTATAAATCAAATAAAATATACTTAATGAAACAATTTTTTTAAAATTTTTAAAGAACTTAATAAATTTCATGGTCAAGTGAGTTTTACAAAATTTTACATGCTTATAAGGTTTCAAAAAAATTCAAACCCTTCAATGAGAAGATCTTTAAGAGGATTAGTTTTGACTTACTTTGGTAACTTTTTAATTTATAAGATTTTTTTTTTTTAATGAAACACTTGCTAAATAAAATTACTCTAACCAAACAATATATATATATATATATATATATATGTGAACTTATAAGTCTTACTTACATGTAAATTGAATATATATCTTAAATTTTTTCATAAAGAATGGTAACAGAACTTGCTTCAGAAAAAATTGTGGGAAAGAAATGACTTATTTGTTAAGATATGTGAGATTTCCTTAAAGACTAAGAACATATGTACATTAACTCTAACTAATACCATATATATATATATATGTATTGTCTTTTCCGTATTAATTAAGCCAATCTAACCCAACCAGAAAACTTGATTCTCGAGCAGATGGATTTCTATCATGTGGGACTAGTGCTTTTCAAGTGAACTTAAAAGAGTGTACATATATGATTACATATATATATATATATGCATATATTCACGGTAGAAGAAGATGCATGATAATTAATTGTTTTTTTAAAAAAAATAATAATGCATAAGAATAGTAAATTGCATGTTTATCTTGAGAACAACTTAGTGATTAAGCAGTACAATAAGGCTGAGACTAAACCTAGATTAGAAGACATGGAATACCTGAAGGAAGTCTCTTATGCTGATCAGTGTTCAAAGTTGCATCTTGACTTTCATGTTGTTTAACCTGCTTAATTTCAAAGACCAAAAAGAAATTATTCAAGTATATTAGAGCATTGTTATAGCAGTCATATATATTTATATAAATATATATACACACACACACAAGCACATACAGAGACCATTTATTATACCAAGATAGGTTTGTTTTATTAGTAGCTAAGATAGATTCTTACAGTGACTTCATCAGTGAATTTGAGCTTCCTTGACAGGAAAACCTTGTCTTCGGTCATGAATCAATACCCATATATATAATTAGTTCATCATGTTGAAAAGAGAAAGATAAATTAGAAATTAAGTAGAGACTGAATAATAATCACTTACCTTGTTGGTATAATGGGATTTGCAGGTGGATTAATTGCAGAGAAGAAGAGGGCTCTATTAGCAGCAGAAGAAGGCTCATGCAAGCTAAACATATAATCACTATCTTCTCCATTTCTACGACAGTTTTGTTTAATCTTTTTTTGGGAGGGGGAAGAGGTTTAAATAGCAGAGCCTGCGGAGAAAGAAGACAACGGAAAGAGAGAATGACAAAAACGCGAAGCAAAAAATGCGTAGTTCTCAAAAACCAAGTGAAAGGAAAATCTTAATTAATTATAAGGAGATTGCTATAATTAATATTATAATTAATTATGTTTATCTTTTTTGAGACTAAGCCTCCAGCTTTTGGAGAAAATTTCACAATTATACACCCACCTAAATAAGAAAAGCCCACCGCTACATCATCTAAAAAGAACTTAGCTAGTGGTATATCTATACATATATATATATATATATATGTATGTAATCATTTTTGTTGAATTATTTCACCATTCTATTTGACATTAACATGCTGAAAAGTAGATAAATAAAAAAAGATATGGTTTTTTAAAAAAAAAAAATAGAAAAGACATTTGAGTTTGACTATTCGACAAGCTGTACATACACTTATTTTGACAAACTCCTAGAAATAAATTATTTACACACTAATAAGTTTGACCTTCGTGTTCAGAGCTTCTTTGCCAGATATTACTTTTTATGTTTTTCCAAAGTCCAGAACGTGCTTGAACCCATCTATACAAAAGAAAAACTAGAGACCAAAGTACATACAGCGAAAGAAGGATAAGTTTATACGTGTCTAAATTGATAATTAATATTTAGTTCTCAGTATATATCATTACTTTTATATCCAAAAGAATGATCAAAGAGATAACTTATAAGTGTGTGCATATGATTTCAGGTTCGGCTGCTGATTTTGGGCAAGGCTGCTGCCATTCATTTCCTTTTATCACGTTCTGCATTCTCCGGGGTTAGAGACTTTATATCCAAACATTTTCTAAGTTAAATGATTTCAAATTCATAGTATATGGACAAATTAAGGAGACGCCAAGCACACTTGACCTTATCTACTAAGGACGTATATTCTAAATGTTTACGTAATGGAGGTGCTTGACATGTTATTATTAGGGTGATTGAATTAAAGTTGACCCACCTCTTTATTTGGTAACTCTTCGGCCTTACCTAGTCAAAAGTCGTCGACTATCAAAATTATTTATAATTTTTTTCTCATTTCCTATAAATTCCAAAATTTCTCCTATTATACATCATATGCTACTCTTAATAACTATCATACAGATACTTTCACATCTCAAGTTAAAAATACCGTATTATTATTTTAGCAACTTTGTATGGTAGCTTTTTGCTTTCTTAATTGTTAACTTAATCTTCAGAGAGTTATCACTAGAGTACTTTATAGCACTTATTAATCAATATTATAGGTTGAAGATTTAAGAACTTAACTAGATAATAATTGGTATCTATAAATTTTTTTCAATTCTAAATAAAGTGAGACTGTAAATAAATTTATTAAAAAATTACCTGAAAACCTTATCATATATAAAAATTTATTAAATCAAATTTTTTAAAAAAG